ACATGCGTACTTTTGCTTCTACGCTTGATTTTCTCTTTCTTCTTTTCATCTTTTACTCGCATAACCATATTGAGAGCTTTTATACGATTGTAGACAATGTCTGAGTTGTCCTTGGAGGCATGGTTCTTCAAATGCTTGCATGGCAGTCTTTGTTTGTGCTTGTTAGTCCATTTGCGTCTCAAGTCTTGATCTTTGTCTGAGCATTTGACGTTAATGCTTTGACTCTCTTTTGGTCTGGTCAACATTATAGATGGACAAACTTTGTTTTTGTCTGGAATATCTTTCAGTTTGTGTTGTCCTTCGTCTGATGCGTAGTTAACTTTCTTCTGATCTTTGACCAATGCTTCGTCTGATTTCTTATGTTGCGCTTGATGTTGTCCCTGACACACCTTCGTCTGATATTAGACTTATATTCGTCTGGCACACATATCATACTTTATCTATTTATTTGGCTTGGTTTGTCTGATTCTCATGATGTGCCTTGCCTTGATTATTCTTCAACTAAGTTGACCATTAGGCTTCATCTGATGTTTGTATGGACTTCATGTGATGCTTAACCCACTTTTGTCTTGTTCTAGATTTAGCCTTGTTTTGGCCTTTTGTCTAGTATTTGTTGAATGTTCTTTTGGCTTTTGATCATACCTAGTCCTGTTCCTTGACTAACCATCATTTGATGTTCTTGTTTAGTTCGTCCATACTTCGTGGATCTTGCATTTAATGTATTTGATCTAGGATAAAATGTTTGCTTGCCGAATCTGTGTTACGTGAAGTCTTTTGTACCGTTTGTTTACTTTTATGTTTGACTTCAATCATAACCTAGGTGTATCTATGCTTTTCCTGGCATTGTAGCTGCAAAGGCGTTGTCTTTTTCTGAAAGGTAGGTGTACTTGCTCTGACACACGCAACTTTGACTTGTGGATACATGCTAGTCCATTTTTCTTCTCTCTCCTCATGTTTTTGATGACTTCATGTGTTCTTCTAATAGTGTGGATGATAAGCAATATTCCTTGTTGTGACTTAGTGGACTTCATACGTTTCTCAATATTCTCTGTTTGCGTCTAGAATTTAAGTCTCTATCTGAGAGGTAGACTTTGACTTTTCTTTTCGACTGGTCAATTTGTGAAGATGGAATACTTTATTACATCTGGAACATCCTTTCGTGTTATGTATATCCATCGTCTGTGGTTTTGTATCATTTCAGGCTTCATTATTTTCTTTCTTGTGCTAGGCTTGGCTTCATTTGATCTCTTCATCTGATGCCTTGTAGCTTTTACCCTTTGTCTTAGTTCTGGTTCGGGAAGTTGCACATGCTTTGTTCTTCATTTTGTCTGTACATATATTTTTCTGAAACACTAACACACTTGATAGAAATAACAATATGTATTATATTTGTCTCATTCAAAACCTTGCTGGAAATTATTTCGTCTGACTCAACACTTACTCCCATATAAATATGATATTCCTAATCGCACCATAAGAAAAGTATGTAAGGGTAAGCTAGTATTCAAAAGAATAAACGTTAAATAAGTATAGAAATAAAACAACTATACTACCAACACCAATATGTAAACCACACAACCACAAAAATAATCGTGGCTTACAACATAACAACATAGAAACATAATTTTAGCACCTCAACCTGACATTCAACAATCTTAGAAGGTAAACAACCTAATCACCTCACAATATTTTCCAACTTTCTCCACAATAATGCCATTAAAAAACAATCCACATGATTTCTCGGATTTTGCCACTTAAATTAGGAAGTTTATTATTCCTACCAAGATAGAATAACTTGGGTGTGAACCTATCATGACATTAGCTTGCATAACTAAGCCACATATGATATTAGCTCATTGACTACTCTCTAAATACTACATTATTTCAATACTTAGTTAGGAATTTTAGTCCTGATCTTATACGTTATTCGATTGGTCACTTTATTTATGTTTTCCTTGATTTTGCCCGCATATATATCAACAACGGTCACTTGTAATCAGTATAGCTTGACTTGACCTCTATATTATAGCCACATACCACATTAACTAAGGTCCTATAAGAGACTCAACTATCTACTTCAAGAAACAACTATTCAAGAAGGTTTTTCAACAATCAGGTTGGTAGAGCACCAAATCAATAATCGCACAATGGGATATGCAAATTTAGAAAACACTTTTTCCTCTAATCTTAAGTCAATCAACACAACACACGTGAAACACAACAAATCTCAAAATGCAAGAGCATAAACAAACACTAGACATCACAAGTGTTTGATTTTCATCAATAAAAACAACATGAAACTAACAATTAGTTCAAATTTTACTAATCTTCAACAAGGTACCAAAACCTTAAAACCAAAACCCCAAATCCTCAATCAACCACGACACAACCACTAAGTTCAATGAATTCAAACTTATACGACAACATAAATCAACAAGAATGGAGTTTTAGCTTCTTTTACCTTTGAATCAAAGTGAAACAAGGAAGAAGGAAGGAGAAGAACGACTACAAGCTAACATCGAAACTTCTCACCAAACTCAAATTTTTGACTCCATCAGCTTTGAATTACCAACCAACTACTCAACTATAAGCTTCTACGACTCCTAGGAGGCTAAAAAGAAGAACAAAGGCTTTAAAAATCTAGAGTTCCTCTCTCTACTATCTCACTAAGATTTATTAAGAAATGAACTTATGAAACTTATGTCTTAAGAGAAATCTTATATACTATTCCCCTAAAGTTAACTACTATTACAAAACAAAGTTATTAGCTAAACACTCTTTACACTGACATTCTCTTAGATATGTAAATATTATACCACCTTCTCTTTTTATGTTAAAATAAATATTTTCCTCTCTTAACAAATTCAAAGATGTTACGATTTCACAATTTAACAATTTATCTATTGCTTTACATATTTAATTATTACTTTAAAAATTATTATGAATTTTATTAAAATTAACTATATATATATATATATCTTAAAAAACATTTTTCATTATTATCTTTACAAAATATTTTTAAAGTTATGTATCAACATAAAAAAAATATATTTGTATAAATACAATAAAATCAAATATAAATATTAAGATATTATTTAATCAATATAATTAATGTAATACTTTTATAAGTATTAATAAAATAGTATTTTTATT